TAGTACTTATTTTATTAATTTTCTTATCTTTACTAATTTTATTATTTTTCATCTTTTAGTAGTTTCGCCAGTTTCGATAGTTTCGCCATTTCGCCATTTTTAATTTTTTTTTGGCGAAAGTCGAAACTAGTTTCGATTTTCGCCTTTTGCGAAACCTCTAAGTTTCGCCTAACAACACTATTCGTGTGGCAAGTAAGCATTAGTTAAATAATTATATTAAATAATGCTTATTAGTTACGCCTGATGATTCATCACAACCTTGTGCCAAATGGAGAATGGACTTATAAAAAATTAATTTTACTAACCTACATACTATCAAAATTTTGCCCAATTTTCGTACGTCCGTACATATTTGTACAATAGTACAGTACTACTTTACTAACTGCATATATTTTGAGTATTGTCGGCATCACTAGTAAGTACGTACATTTTTTGAGTCCATATCAATATGAGAAATAGAGTACAAGCTTCCTAAAGCAACATTAGTATTGTAAAACAGAAAGTTCTTATACAATTGTATAACTTATCAGATTTCCTAAATTAGAAAGTCTTGTCACATTGTGTTTATAACAGTAATAACTTTATCGTTATCTTATTATCCATTTTAAAGTGCCGGATCGCTATCATTAAAAAAAAGCCTAATAATAATAATAATCAGATATATCAATCTTTTTTTATTCAAAATATAAAAATCATTAATATTCTACCGAGTTTTTCTAATGTGTATACCCCCAACGATATTAAAGGTAAAGGTTTTTTTGATTTATATCCGAGTACATAAGCGTGATAAAATCTTACTTATATATCCGGATAAAAACTTTTGTAATGTATTTCTCTACATGAGTAGCTGGGTACTACAACGAACTAGGATAATATCCCAGGTACATATGTCTGAAGAATAAGGTAATTAATAAGATTGGCCATGATTAGTGACAATAATGATATGTTATAATGGTATATCATAATTAAGTAAAAGATTTATATTACGAATGTGGAAAAAATGAAAATAAATACAATAAATTATTAAAAACTAAATTAAACACAAAATAAGATATTTTAAATTTTAAATTATATAGATATCGATTCATCATAATTAGAATTAATTTAAGCATCATCTTCAGCATCATCATCACCGTCATCAAGGCCCACAAAATATGCAGTTGTAGTCATAACAAAGACATTAAATGCAGTACTTAAAACATCAGCATAAGTGTACGTTGGTAAGTCAAAGATGGCAATTCCAATAATTCGGTAAGCACACATAGCTATGAGCTGCACTATATCGATAATAAATAAAGTATATTGATGACTGATAACAGATAAATCATCGCTTTCATCCAACGTTTTATAATAATATACGGACACAGCAAGAATATAGTAAATGCGGAAAATGGGATGTAATCCATCTCGCACCTTATAAATTGTAGGTATATAGGAACAAAGAGGACTGCAATATAGTCCTTGGCATATAGTACTTTGAATGATGCTGATTATGAAAATAAAAATTAATTCTAAAAATCGAATCGTAAGAATGAAATAATGAAAACCAGTAAATATAACACTTCTAATTGGTGTATAAACCGCATAAAGTTGTAAATAAGCAATATCTAGTATGAATGGCTTTGATACTATATAAAAAAATTGAATGAATGGATATATCCAAGAGTATAATTGTATGGAAAAATTATTAGAACAATTATTAATGTTTATTACGTTCACTGGAACGCAAAATGAAATTGTCTTTTCGGCAAAGTTTGAACAACGTGAGCTTGCTACCAACAGTAATGGAGCAAGTATTTCATTAATTAATAACGCAATATTGATAGGGAGAAGACGCCAATAGCCTCTTCTAAATCTTCCTCTTATTCCAATTTTACTTAATAATATACCCCGAGAAAATGAGGATAAAGTCAAAATAAAGCCTATAATTAGGAAGCATGCCGAAATGAATATTTCAAGAGGACTAATGTCAGTGATGTCTTTCATTATATTATGCCTGTATATTAACTGTAAATTTATTATTTATAGTTCTAAATGAGCAAATTTTGCCACTAAGAAATGAAAAGAAAAGATACGATATTTATTAGAATTAAAATTTCGGTAATTTAATTGATTGTTATCAAAGAATCTGTGCAACAAATTAATTAACAACGCATCGTTATGTTTTTTTGGTCATTAATTAATTAAAATTTTTTTTATATTTGTCGTTCTGGATATAGTGAAACCTTATGTAAACGAGCGATTTAGTTGAACTACAATCAATGCATAGGATGTTAGTACAGTTCATAAGAATTAAGCATTTTGTTATGGTTACTATCACGCTATCAATAGGAACACACATGCATGAAATATAAAATTTAACTCAAAAGTGATATCTAGTGATATAATTTCGGCTACCGAATACGACAAATTAGGCTATTCATTATACATAAGCTTCAATTGCAGTCTGTAAAAAGATTTTTTTTATGCACTTGGATTTTGGCAATTTGTTTTTATTGTACTAAATATGGATACATGCGAATAAAAAAAGTATATCATGTATTAAGAATCCGAACTTGGACACTTTTTTTTTGTAATAATTCTGTTTTGTCAGTAGTGCTTCTTAATTGAGCCTCAATTTCTAAATGCGGATTCGTATAATAAACCAATTTTTTTGAAATAACATGGTATTTTTAAATTGAATCTATCAGCCTTTGATTCTAACCTCTTAAAATCACAAGCATTAGATAGAAAAGGTCACTGTTTGTTTTCAGTCTATCTTCTCGCTTATTTACAAGATCTATAATTATTTATGAACAATACAGTGTATAAAAATTGTGAACATTTATACTAATCATCATTTTTTCGTTAGTGTAACATTGTTTATCTAATGTTTATCCGAAATCATATGTTTTCGAGCAATTTGTGTGCATATCCATCCTTTATATTTGTTATACGATAATTTATCTCTAATACACTGGCCTCTTTACAAATTTGTCTTAGCATACTTTATTTCTTGAAAAAAATCGTTACATCAAAATACTATTTGTAATTTAACGTTAATAGTTAATTTGGCTTATCTATTTGTAGCTCAAGTATTTTTTAAACAATCAATTTCATATGATTTTCTATGTTACACGATTTTTTAATACAACCCTAAATTTATTATATAGTTATGAGTACTGCCATATTAAATCCCTGAAATAATTTTGATATTACGTGTTAATCACATGCATGACCTGTGCTCTAGTCGATGTGGCAATTTAGTATTTACAAAATACGTACGCAAAGCTTTCATTTGCACTAAAGATGTCTGACAAATGACAAAACTTTCGTCAAGCAATGACGAATTGACAATTGACAAAATTCATAACGACTAATAAGTAGAAAAGTTATTTTCTTACATAATGGAAATAACTTGTACATATGAAGTAGTACTTTTGTTTGCATTATTGTGTTTATCAATTTTTACCATTCTCTTTTTTGATTTTTTCTTTTGGTGAAAACATCTGATATTTTCTGATGAAGGCTTTTATTGCCTGAAAGTATCTGATCGGATGGATTAAGAAAACTATTGAATTCAGATTTCACGTAATGTAAAACCCAAAATTAACTTTTAAATTAGTTAATTAATATTTGTATAGTCAACCTTTTATCTTGATAGTTAAAAAGCTCTAGGCAAGGTTTTTTTACTATTTATGTTAATATATGATTTTAGTTTTTTTTTTAAGGTGAGGTCTTGCTTGTATCTTTATTAAGTAATTTATAAAATAGTAATATATGAGCAATACATAAATTTCTGTTATTTGTATTAGTATAAATAAATAAAAAATTAAATACAAGAATAAAAGCTCGGACAATTAAATAAAATATTTAATTTATCTGTGATTTAAACTTATTAGAGTAATTAAAAACTCACCTAAGTAATATCATTTATAGTTAATATAAAATTAGAAGTTACATTATACTTAAACCACAAGGTGGTTCAGATACTGAAGCTTTATTCTAAAAATTCATTTGGAAAGCTTAATTTGACAAACCAGAAGGTAGATTTTAGAATAAAATTAGGGTTGATCAGATTGATCACAAATACAAAAGTATATAAGTATATGATGTATAAATTTAATGTTTTTATTATAGTAAGATAATATTTGTTAGTTAACATATAAATATGTTAATTATTGTTATTTTCTTCAATTAAAGAAGTTATTTTAGTAAAATTTTTTATAATTATTTATAGATTTGTTTATTAATTTTAAACAATATATTAGCAATATTTATTAAGATTAATTTGTATAAAATATTTAAATTCTAAAGAGTTTTAATTAAAATAAAAGAACAAGTTTTTTAAAAGTAAATTCTATGTAGTTAAGAAATTCTAAAAAATTATTTTATTAAAAATTAAATAATTATAATAAGATCTAGATTGTTTAAACTTATACAAACTGTTATTTTATTAAAAATAATACTATCAAACAAAAAAAATTAATACAATTATTTTAGTTATATATCTAAGTCACTTAAGTTTATAACTTAAGTCTGACTTAAGTTTGTAATTTAAGTTTAATTTAAACTTATAATTTAAGTTTAACTCAAGCATATAACCAAGTTTAATTCAAGTCTATAACTTAAGTCAATTCAAGTTATAATTAAAACCTATAATCCAAGTCTGTAATCCAAGTTCATGACTCAAACCTAATTTAAAAATATAATACAAACCTAAGACTAAAATTTTTTACAAGCTTAAGCTCTTATATATATAAAAAATAAAGTAATAAAACTATATATTAATAATGTAGTTATATAAAATATAGCAACTTAGTAAAGAAAATAAGTTATCAAACTTTCAAGTGGTAGATTGTAAGTTCAAAATATACTAAAGACAAAATTTGAAAAAATATATTTATAGTATACTAATAATATTCTGTCAATCAGTTTGGATAAAATACCTATTACTATAATTATACTAGTATAACTAATAGGTTAAAAGGAATTTGTATAATTTTAATTATATAAAAAAAATGCAAACTAGTACTAAATAGTGCAAATTTAAGATTAGTTCTTGTAGTCATATAAATTTATTAAACTGAAAAAAACAAAGCTTACTTAGAAAGACCTGATTAAAGAGATAATACAGATTTTTAATAATACTACAATAAAGACTAAATCTAAAAACTAGATACTAATATAAAAAATTAGGCAGACAAGAACTTTTAGATAAAAAATATCACTAATTAGACTGCTATATTGTATTTTAAGTTTAATTACAAATAAAAATATTAGTAAATAAAAATATACTAAGATAATATGAAGTTTAATATTGCTTTAAAAAAATATTAAGTATTATAGTATCTTCATAATGAATATAAATAGAGGTAATAAAATTAAAATTAATAATAATGTTAATTATCTAACTTTTTCTATAAATTACTAAAACCAAGTTTTTTCTAACAAACAATTTAATTTTTCTTAATATTTTACTAACTTAATAGCCTAATTAAACTTTTTCTAATAACTTTCTGTTTTAAAAACAATATAAATTTATTTATATTTAAATTTTTAATATAATAACTTATATTTTAATAAAATTATCTTTCTTTATACTCTTTTTAATTTTTCTTAATTTATATTTAATTATACTTTTTTACTTTTAAATAAACTAATTATACTAAACTTTTTGTTTTCAACCATACTAATTTTATTAAATTTTAATTATTATATTATATACAAATTAATATTTTTTAAAAAATATACTTTTTTAATTTTCTTTAAATTCATTTTTTTTTTTTTTAAGATAAGGTTTTGCCTTTAACTTTATTATGATTTGTATTAAAAATTCACAAAAGGTTTCTTTGACCAAAAGTTGAGTTTACAAATTGTTTACAAAAATAAAACTTAGACTATAAATATACTAAGACTAACTAGTTTAATCTAATTTATCTGCAACCTAAATCTACTAAAGTAGGTAAATTTCATCTAGGTTTTGTTAGTTAAAATAATACTAATTTGATAGTTAATTATATTGTTAATTGAAATCTTATATTTAATATATTTAGATATCAAAATAGATGTTTTCTTTTTTGTTATTCCTAAAAGTGAGCAAATATTGTGTTCATCTTCTATATATTATTGGTCTGCTAAACCACAAATACAGTTATAAATATATTGTAATTTAGAATAGTATATGCATTCTATATTGTTTGAGTTCTTATATATATTTGTTTGAGTGCATGCAGTCAAGTAGATATATTGTATTGGTATTTTCAATTGACTAGTTTTATACAGTATAGTTTTCATATTTGGTTGTATATATTATCTGATAGTTTTATTAAAAATTTAGTAATAATATTAGTTGCAATTTGGTTAGAATCTGTATATTCTCA